CGACAGCCATTAACATATTATATACCCTTCCGCCTTCCACCCGGTTCACTTTTATTTGAATCGGCGTCTATCGTTAAATTAAGTTACCGTTAATGAACAGCGAGCGCGCGCTTCATTGAAATTAAAATTCACGCTTGTCTCGAAGCATGTCTCCTTATAACACAGCTGTCCTATTGTTTTTGACAATTTAATTAACATTGACAAGGAAATAAAGGGAGACTGTAAATAAATTAATTTAAAAACCGGAGCAAAATCAGTTTAACAGGGGTTTGTGAACCGACGGCTGACGAAGACCGTCAGTTCTACACAGCAGTATTTTAACTGAGGTAAATATTATCCATTTTGCTCCTAGTATCACTATTTAACACAAGGGCTACTCTAACAAATATAAATATTAACTGATGATACTAAATATTTCAGTAATATGATTTAAAACATGTAAAAACTTACCTGAGGGTATGAACGGCCAGAAATGGCGGACTCCTCAGTTTGAAAAATTAACCGTCAATGTCGCGACTCGAGGTTCATCTTCGCCAATCTACCAATAGGAATTCAAGGATGTTGCAACGCATATACGCCACCAGAGGGCATTTTTACGATTATTTGTTTTTAATGCCCCCTTCTGGTTAGATTAAACCATCACAATATTGTACGGTACAAAACAAAGAAAACACCTTGTTAGTTTATTTATTTCACAAAATGATTCGTCAAAAAGCAAAATATAATGTATTAGGAAATATAAGTTTCATAATGTACGAACTTGCATAAAAAGCTCAAATCATACATTGACTAGATATTAATATTTGTTGACTCTTGTTTTTGACTACAGCAGTCACTCAAAAAGCTTTGTGAATGTGTTGTGTAGGCCTATAACTATTGTGTAATCTTTAGTTTACGCTTCAGTCCTAAAACATGAATTATAGAACCATTTTAATAAAAAAGGTTCTTTGCTCTCCAAGGGTTCTACATAGAACCATTTTTTTGGTAAAATGTTCTATTGGCCAAGTACAGAACCCCAGGGTTCTATATAGAACCTCAAGGAACCCTTTTTTTTAAAGAGTGTATAAGCTGTGGTAAACACATTTGTTAAACATTTAACACATTTTAAACACTTAAACTTTCATTTCTTGTTTGCTGATAAGAGCGTCCAAAAAGTCTTTTACTCCTTAACCAAACAGAATCATGAGTGCAGGAACTGGTCTGACACTGTGCCAGGATGTTAGGGAACGGCTGGGAAACTGCTGGCTCCTCCTAATGTGAGCAGGGACACGTGCTGATGCTTGACTAACCACATTCAAGGTCTCTGCTAGACCGGTATATTTGAAAAACAAATGACTCAACCACTCTACACCAGTGAATAATAGCACACAGATCCAAGAGATCAAGACATGATTGAGCAAAGAGTTATTACCCCAAACTCCAAGTTTATTCATGAATGCATAAACCAGCCTCTCAGTCCCACATGACCAATAAAACATACACTCAGGAAGATAAAATTTACAAAAACACTTGCATGGGAGTGAGAATTGCAACTCTCAACGGTCACTGGTTTACAAATAGAACTAAATCTAATTTCAGAACATTTTGGTGAACATTGATGTGGTCATCACTTGCTGACCAGCAGCAGAAAAATTCTGAGTTAAAGCTGTAGGCCAAGTAAGGGGGGGGGGGGGATTATTGCTAGCTCCCCCTAAAAGAATGCTCACAATTTCCAAAAACTCAAACCAGGACACTCAAAGCAATATGGTCATTGCCAACATAACTCTCTGAAAACATACGGGTAAAAATTTAAATCATTATTTTGCGACATGAGAATTTGCATAATTGTGACATTCAAAATACATAAACCAATTTATACAACAAATGTAATTAGTCCTCTGGCTGTAATCACGGCTTTACCATTGGGCAACTGACCAAATGTGAGAAAGAGTGGGCAAAATGAATGCATAAATCACGTAATCACCACAACAATTAAAAAGGGGGGGAAAAGTGCTCAAGGGGAGGGGGGGAGCACAAGTTAAAATAGTCATTAATCAATCCGACATACAAGTTAGGACAGGCCAGTGGCCAAAAACGTGGGGGTAAAAATACAGGTTAGTTAAAACGTGTACGTGTAATACATGACAGTGACATGTAGCTGTGTGTTTCTCAAGAGAGATCAGGGTGAATAATGACGGTTTAAAAGTTAAAACAGGCAGAGACACGTAATAGCCTCTCAACCTCGTTTGACATAGTACTAAAGAAATACCAAACCCTGTAAACCAATAACTGTTCCCACCAAACACACATCTTCAGGTCTCTGCCAAGTCTCATGTGTGAGGGCAGCATATGAGAGAGTAAAGGCAGTACAATGCTGAGGGAATGGGAGAACATGAGGCTCAAAGATTTTTGAGACGGCTGTACATGTCTCTCTTGCTGCGTTCTCCAGCCCAGGTGCGGCTCTTAAGGCGGAACTTCCTCAGGTCTTCTTTAAAGTCTTCATGATGCATCGGCCTGTAAGCCTGTGGTTCACAGACCGACTACAGAGAAAAATGCATGCATTATAAACTTGGAAAAAGAGGGGGAAAACTCAGATGTAGAACATTCAAACTGTGAAAGCACACATACCTTGTGAAGCGGGAAAAAGTCTTTGTAGCCTCCCTTCAGGATATAGAGTTCAGGGTAATGGAGGTTGGGGTACTCATTTAAAAACCGATCTCTTTGTCGAACATAGCGACACATCCGTGGGCCACGTTCAGATGAAAATTCACAGTGGAAAACCAGCAGGACACGCTTCTTGGGACATTCTGGAAGAATAGGACTCTTTAAAAAGTAGTCTTCAATTTGATCCTCTTGATGGAGGTTGAGGGCACCCTGAAAGGAGGAGGACAAACAGGAGTTAGCAAAATTTGCCCCACACAAATACGACAGCATGCAACTGCATCAAGGTTAATTAAATCCTAACCTTAATATGACCGCCCTCATACTCATACGGATAACGGCAGTCGATGACAAAGAGCCTCTCCACCAGATCGCTGTACTGGCCGTTCATTGCTTTAACCATCTGAAAATACAGAAACAGATGTCAGAAAACAGGATGCAGGAAATGTGCCAATGCACATACTTTGTATAGATGACATGCAACTGCTTGTTTTACATGCTCTTGCATTTGAAATGTCCATGCTAAATGTTAATGTGTGCAAACTTACAATATCTGGAGTGATGTATTTCAACTCTTGGTGTTTTCCTTCAACTGTGGGTAGCGCAGGAGCCTTCAAAATGACAAATGCACGCTTTTAAATGGTGTTTGATTTATTGTTATGATTTTATATGTGTGAGTGTCATATATATGTAATTACTACAAAATGCAATAATCACCTTCGTGAAATCTCCAGTCACATTACTGGGATCTGTATCCAACATTCTTTCAATCTGTGTGTGACTAAATGACTTTGACCTTTGAACCTGTAAGAAGGTGGAATCAAAGTTAGACCCAAATTATAAACTCAAATTATGGTTGCTGTTGTTTTTCCAGTGAGGTCTGACCTGATGAGGCATAACATCCTCCTGTTCTGTGGGTGCAACTTGTGTCCCTGCCAGGCTCCGCCTCCTCTTCACTCTGACAGGTGTGTTCTCATCCTGTGGCCTCTCAGATCTCTTTAGTGGGATACGCCCTCCGGGGTTCGGCATAGAGGGAGATCGGAACAACCCACGTGGACGGCAGCGAACAACAGGCTAAGGGCAATAAAGTGGGTTTGGTTGGTAACTATCATGTCAATAACCATAAAAAACAAATCAAAAAGAGATAGAGAGTGTAACAGCATACCGAATAATTACTGTCAGTACTTTGTTTAGCCACCAGAGGAGCTGTGAGAAGACTGTCCATTCCAAAAGGAACCTCAGAGTCGTTCTACACAAACAAATGCATTATGGTTATTTACAAATCAAAGAAACAGAAGAATAAAACAAAAGCAAATTGAGAAGTCACCTCCACATCATCCAGCCCCTCTAAGAAGCCATCATCATCATCATCATCGTGGAGACAGGAGAGCGAGGGGCGGCGCAATATGAAGGGACTGCTCTCGTCTGAAGAGTCGGGCTGATGGGATGAAGGTGGGGAAAGCTGGAGAACAGAGGAAAACCCAAACATTTAAAAGTTACATCAACATTAAACCTTTTAGAACAGTTTTCTACAGGTTCTGCCAAGGATGCATGTTGTACCATTAAAGCAGGAGCAGAGTTGGGTCGGCAGGCAAAAGCATCCTTGGTACCTCCAGTGGACCGCGTACGACAGTGTGATGCTGGCATGGAAGGCTTCTTGAACTCAAAATTCTCCTGGAGAAAAAAAAAACCAGATTGAATCAATTAAGTCGTAAGAGAAAATACAAAGTCATTTCAACACCCACCCCATGAATTCCCATAACTTTCCAAGACTTGCAATAACAAATCATAGCACTCACTCTCTCAAAAAGCAATTCCTAGTCAATTTTGAGCATGAATACATCAATATACTGCCTACAGAAACACAAACTAGAGACACGAAACACACACCTCAGCCAGGTTCTCTTTGTTGTCGCTGCCATTTGCACGAGTCCACACTCCATAGCGCGAGGGATCTTGTTCTTTATTTCTCAAATTGGGACTGTGACCCAAAAATTGCAGCTACAAAGAAAAAACAAATCTTACGTTTATACTTACACCACAGTTCAAAAGGTTGGGGTCAGTTAGAGAAACACTTATTTAGCAAGGACACGATAAATCAAATCAAAAGTGACAGTAAAGACACTTGTAAAAAGTACCACTGTTTCCACAAATACATTAAAAAGCATTTTAGAATGATTTCTTGTCATGTGACACCTAGACTAGAGTCATGGCTGATGAAAATAAATTACACTTTAAAATATTATATTAATAGATTACTATTAATTTTTCTACCAAATGCAGTCTTGGCAAACACATGAGACTTCTTTAAAATCGCAAACTTTTGCATGAGAGAGTGTATAAAGAATGAACTTACTGGCAAAGAGTGTATCCTGCGAATGGGCATTTTTCTGTACAAACAGAAAGAACATTCGATTAAACCCAAGTCAATACAACAGATTTCACAGACAAATGCATCCTCTGCTTTGTAGTGCATGACCACTTACTCATTAACTGCTCGTGTGGCATCCTGCATGGCCTTCTCAAACCTGTGAGGAAAAAGAAAATGCTATTGAACAGCTCCTAGTGTATTCAAAGTCTCCTCCTGCTCCAACCAAACACAAGCCCAAACGACAATTCAGACTACTAGGCCCCTCACAACTCTATATTTAACAAATACACCGATGCCCACCTGTATGCAAAACAGCCCTCAGCAGAACTGAGGGGGGGGGGGGGT